TAGACTAGACTATAGACTAGGCTATAGACTAGACTATAGACTAGACTATAGACTAGGCTATAGACTAGACTATAGACTAGACTATAGACTAGACTATAGACTAGACTATAGACTAGTAGTTAGACTAACTACTAGACTAAACACTAGTCTAGTCTATAGTCTAGTATATAGTCTAGCAATTAGTCTACTTTAAATTCTGGTCTGTAGTCTAATCAATACTTTAGTATATAGTCTTGATGAAATAGAATATAGTTTGGATTACACTTTTGTCTGGACTTTGAAATATACATACATATGTATATACATTACTCTCCAGCCCGATAGATTGTAGAGTATTCTATTGCCCAGACTATAGTCTATTCTTTGGTTTCGTCTATCTCATTATTTCAGTAATTAAAAATATTGTTTACTTGACAATAAATATATTTTATCCATTATTTACCTGAAACTTAAAAAAAATGCGGCAACCTCAACCCTTACCAAACCCATATCGTATTGCAATTAACAAAACCAAATTCCCAATCAAGGAAACACATAAAAAATAAAACCATTCCAAAAACCAGTAATTGTTAATAATGACACTGATACTAATTTGTAATTAAAACTATATGAAATAAATCAATTAATAAGCTTTATTTATAACGGACGTACTACCAAACACTTTCATATATAATTACTCTAGAGGGAATTGAATTTCAAAAATAAATTTCAGTCTTTCAAGGATACAGACAACAAGCAAGTGTTTTTTGGTTCTCTTGTTTTGGGGGGGTTAAAATAAATAGAACCTTGAAGAAAATGCCTTTAAACAGTAAAACGAACAAAAAAGATGCTGAGAAAAAGTGTTCTAGCTGGTGGAGTTGTTTACATGCGGCCATAGATGATACATTTTGGGAGTATACCAGACGTACGAGAGTAAGTGGTATCTGGTTACTGCGGAGACATCGTACAGAGGGTATATCGAGGTGGGTTGAAGGATTTTTTAGTTTAAATTAGTTTTTTAAGTTTTGTAATGATTTTAGATGGTGCTGGTCTTCAGTGATGATTATTTTATTCCTATGTGGAGTTTATTTATCCCTGGCAGCTGTGGTTGAAGTTCTATTCTTATCCTATATTGAATACTATATCAAATGATTTACCCATTACCGATGTGGCCTTTCCGGGGGTGACTATTTGTTCACCCAAAGTGGTGAATATGGAGCGTGTTAGGCGTTATATACGAACACTGTAAGTTGTGGTTTAAAATGAAAAAGTTTTCCAAATTCCTTATAACTTTCTTTATTTAGAGATATACCCGACAAATATAATATCGAGGAAGTGGCCGCTGGTTTTGAATATCTCAATGCCTTCACCGATCAGGGCTGGACGGCGCCCAATAACAATAATACTGCCTATGAAACTACCGATGCTGTTTTGCGCCTCAATAATGTTACTCTCTATGAGGCCGCCATGCAGGTCTGTGCCAGTTGTGATGATTTTGTTAAGCGCTGCTTTTGGGGCGGTCATGAATTCCCCTGTCGTCAAAATCATGAATATTTATCTTTTATACCCACCACTTCTTATCTGGGACCATGTTGTTCGTTCAACTATAATCCTCGTAATCAGTCCTATGTACCCTTTTCCTCTAATATTTTCGGGGTCGATGGTGGTCTTATGTTCATTGGAGTCGAGGGTTCGGAACGTAATCTTTCTACGGGTTTAATCGTGTTGGTCCATCATCCCATGGATTTTGTTACCGAGTCCACCACCTCAGTTACCATTACCTCAAATTCGGAAAGTTTTGTTGAGATTTCTCCCACCGTGCAAAGCTCCTCGAAGGAGGTCTTAGAGTTATCCGAACGTAAGCGTGATTGTTTAATTTCAGACGATGTAGCTTTAAGTAGTTATCGTCAGGCCTCCTGTCTGGTGGCCTGTCAAAGTCAACTCATTATGCAGAAATGTAAATGTCAACCTTATCATTTGCCCAATGGCAAGGCAGAGTATGAGTGTAAACTTAACGATTCCATGTGTTATTCGGATGAGTATGGTTAGTTATTCCAAAAGAAAAGTATTTTGAATTTCTAATACGAAAACATTTTCAGACACTTTTAAAAGCGCCAAATGTGATCAATGTCTGCCCAATTGTTATGATGTTACTTATTCGACTTTGGCCTATAAAACGGATCTGTTGCTGCATAATTATTCTATTAGTTCTTTGTAGTAAGTGATGTCTTGTTGGAATAGAAATTGTTTTTTATTTTGCTTCAAATTTATTCTTATAGTTCCTATACAAACTTTACTAAGGACTCATTTATTGTCCGGGTTTATTTGGCCAAACAAGTAGTACCCGCCATTCATAAGGTCACCGTCATGTCTTGGATTGGTTTGTTGTGTATGTAATTTACATATAAGGATATAGGACAGCATAAAACCTGGAAATTGGTCTTTGGATCAGACCATATAGATCAGTCTATAGATCAGTCTATAGATTAGTCTATATACCAGTGCATAGATAAGTCTGTAGACCAGTAAATAGATCAGTCTATAGACCAATCTATAGATCAGTCTATAGACCAGTCTATAGATCAGTGTATAGAGGGGTCTGTTGACCAGATTAAAGACTAGTCTATAGACCAGTCTATAGATCAGTCTATAGACCATTGTATAGATCAGTCTATAGACCAGTCTATAGATCAGTCTATAGACCAGTGCATTGATCAATCTATAGACCAGTCTATAGATCAGTCTATAAATCAATCTATGGACCAGTCTATAGATCAGTCTATAAATCAGTCTATAAATCAGTCTATAGATCACTCTATAGACCAGTCTATAGATCGACCTCTAGATCACACTATAGATCAGTCTATCGCCCAATCCACAGATCAGAACTAGACCAGTCTATAGAACAATCAAAAAATCATTTGTTTCTTTCTTGCAGCTGACTTAGGTGGCGTTTTCAATCTTTGTCTGGGCCTCAGCATGGTTTCGGTGGTGGAATTTTTCTACTATTGTACTTATCGTTTGGCCGTAAACTTTAAAATGCGCAAAGTTTTAATGCAATAAAAGGATCAGAAATCGTTCTTAAAAGAAATAATAAAACATAAAATATTAACTAAATTATTTAAAGAACCTCAATTCTTTTTCTTTTTATTCTTGACAATTTTCAAAGAAGATTTTCGTTTTAAAGCTTTTTTGGAGTCATCACTAGCATCTTCAGTTTTACTTTCTTTCTCCTCTTTCGCTTCCAATTCTTCTTTGCTTTCCTGTTCTTCCTCCTCCTCATCATCCTTTTCAGTGTCACTAAATTCCAAAAAAAAATCATTTAAATATTTTCTATCTTTTGTACTTTTCTCATTGGACTCACCATATCGTTTGCATATTCTCAAACATATCCTCATATTCTTCATCCTCCGATTCTTCTGCTTTAGAGTTTTTCTTTTTCTTTTGTTTGGATTTAGTCTGATCTACATCCTCATCATCTTCAGCTTCTTTATCATTTTCATTTGAATTAGGATCTTCCAAAGATTCACGTAAGAGTACACGAGAAGCTTTAGACTTAACATAACATTGATACAGTAGCACACAAGTATCGGCATGATGTACACGAACATAACGATCCAAACAGGCGGTAACCAGATGTTTGCCCGAAACATCCAAATAAACATCACTAAGACCGCCCGTAAAACCTTTGTAAGTATGAACGAAATTCTTCATGCGGCGTATATCAAAGGCCTGGATGGTTATAAAAGGAAAAATTAGTTGCAATTTTAGTTTTATAGAAGAAATTTATATTTTCTTACCTTCATGGCTCCCATAGTGGTGCCGGTATAAATATAATTTCCTCTGGCTGTTAGGGCAGTAAAACTCATTTGATCTTCTGTGGCATACAACTGAACCGGTCGTCTCTGCTTGCGTGTATCATAAACACGCACATAACCATAACGTGAACAGGTGGCCAAGACATGAGGCGAGTCTATGAAACCCACATCACTATCCCACACCGGCACCTCCAGTTGCAAATAGTCATTAGGTAAATTTTTCGAAGAAAACACTTGTTTACCTTCGGCCGCCATATCCAAGACTTTTAAGTTATTTTGTCTACCCTTACCACCTATGGCCACTAAATTACGTTCTACCGAACACTGTCTCAAATGAGCCATATCATCACCCACTTTGTCTAAAGAAAAACCATGTAAAGACGAATCTACTCCTTCCTCATTAACGGGCAAACATTGTAACTGGCCATTGCTAAAACCAGCCACTATACTATTATCAAAACGTGCCAAACCCACTACGGGAGCATGTTCAAAATCCACACAATATTGTTGTTGATCTGTGCGTACCGAATGGACTTGTACGGTCTTTTGATGACGTCCTATTAAAATTTCCGATTTATTTTCATTGGCAAAGGCCAATGCGCTTATGCGGGATTCTTTAGTTAATTCGGATAAATTTTGTAGATTTCTCTGTTGGAAAGGATTCTCCTGGTAGGCTGGTGTTAGCTCTGTAACAAAAATATTAATAATTTTTGTTTTATTTGATTGGATTTAAAGAAAAACTTACTTTTAAAGGAACCTGTTTGAGTGCCCACATAAATTTCATGATTTTCTATATAGTTCGGATTTTTAACATTCGCTGTGGTCCACTTCATATTGTCTGCCTTAGATTTTTACTAATTTTTAAAAAATTTATGAAATTTCCCGAAAAAACAATTGTTAACGACTATAAACAGAGAATAAAATACACGTGCTAAGCTAAGAGCAGCAAAAAAACAAACAGCTGTTTACTCTCTCTTGTTTATAAAATCACTTAAAACAACTAAACACAGCCACAAACAAGGTTGCCCAACAAACACTTAAAAACAAAGTACAAGTAAAAAAATCGCCAAAAAATAAAACACAAAAAATAACTGAAAGAAATAAAAATAGATATTAAAATGAACAATTTCAAGTACAAAAAAACTTTTAAAACTAAAATTCTTTAAAATAATTAAAAAAAAGTATTTATTTTGCTAAACATTTCCTTTGTTCTTCCTTGGTATGATATGGCATCACCTTATTTAGCGAATGTAAACACAGCTGTTGCTTAAAAACAAAACAAAAATTTTGAGAAATCCTTTAACTAAAATTACAATTTTTAAAAAATTCCTTATTTAAACCACAAATTTTGGCCTAAAATATGTCTTTAACCAAAGTTCAAGATGCCTCCTTAGTATTCCGACACCTAAATGGTTTAATAAATGTCTATAAACCGGCTGGCATGAAAGTGAAACATGTTAAATCTGCAATTTTACATAATATTTGTCGAGGTAAGTCGCAATTTTTATAAAAAGCTAACAGAAAACCTTTACAAATTCTACAATTACCACAGATCTAAATGACTTGGACTCTAACAAAGAGCCTGAAAGGCCACAAACCCCTTTACTGGAGTCAGGAGGAGCAGCAGATCCCATTTTACGCAAAATAAACAATTTAAATTTAGCGGAAAGTGTTTTGAGCACCGGTCCACGCTATGAAATAGAAGATATACGTTGCAGTCCTGTGGCCTCTTTGGGTGTACACACCAGTGGGGTGTTATGTAAGGTTTTACGAAAACAAAACTTAAAAACATATTTTTAAACATTTCCCATCTTTTAGTATTCGGCCTCAATAAAGGTTTAAGGCAATCCATGCGCATCCAACGTAATCGCCCGCTAAGAGCCTATCATGTTACCGGGCGCCTGGGTATAGCCACTGAAACACATTTACCCGATTCTCATGTTATTTGCAAAGCCAACTATAGGCATGTTCAAGCAGATCGCCTAAGTGCTCTGGCCTCCTCCCTACAAGCCTCCCATCAACGTAAAATGTTCGAGCTGTGTGGTGTGGATATGCAGTCACAGGCAGCCTATGAAATAGCTTGCAAAGGTCTTATCCGGCCGGCCAATAATAGTCAACCTGTTATTTATGGCATTAAACTGATTGACTTTCAAAAGCCTAACTTTACTTTAGAAATACATGCCATCAATGAGACGGAGGCGTATTTGGCCACATTAATCAATGAAATTGGCATAGAATTGAAATCGGTGGCCCACTGTTCCGCCTTAAGATGTATACGACATGGTAAATTTGGAGTGGAAAATGCTTTACTGAGGCATGGTTGGAATTTGGCAGGAGTGGTGAAAAATATGCGCGAACAAAAGGAGGTGTTGGAGCAGTATCCATTCCTGTTGAAGCAGGATAAAATAGAGTTAAGGAATTGATGAACAAATAAAATATTTATTGTTGAGTTTTTTTTTTAAAGCAAGGAAATGGAAAGTTTCATTTTTCAATTGAGTGGAATGGAAGATTTTCTATAGAAAATATTGTTGAATGGAAGAATTTCTTTAGAAATGTTGTGGAGGAGAAGTTTTTCTATAGAAAATGTTGTGGAAGAGAAGTTTTTCTATAGAAATTGTTGTGGAAGAGAAGTTTTTCTATAGAAAATGTTGTGGAAGAGAAGTTTTTCTATAGAAAATATTGTGTAAGACAAGTTTTTCTATAGAAAATGTTGTGTAAGACAAGTTTTTCTATAGAAAATGTTGTGGAAGATAAGATTTTCTATAGAAAATGTTGTGGAAGACAAGTTTTTCTATAGAAAATGTAGTGTAAGAAAAGTTTTTCTATAGAAAATGTTGTGTAAGTCAAGTTTTTCTATAAAAAATGTTGTGTAAGTCAAGTTTTTCTATAGAAAATGTTGTGCTGAACAAGTTTTTCTATAAAAAATGTTGTGTAAGACAAGTTTTTCTATAGAAAATGTTGTATAAGACAATTTTTTCTATAGAAAATGATGTTGAAGACAATTTTTTCTATAGAAAATGTTGTTGAAGACAATTTTTTCTATAGAAAATGTTGTGTAAGACAAGTTTTTCTATAGAAAATGTTGTGTAAGACAAATTTTTCTATAGAAAATGTTGTGGGAGATAAGTTTTTTAATAGAAAATATTGTGGAAGACAAGTTTTTTACTAGAAAATGTTGTGGAAGACAAGTTTTTCTATAGAAAATATTGTACTGGATAAGTTTTTCTATAGAAAATATTGTACTGGATAAGTTTTTCTATATAAAATGTTGCGCTGGATAAGTTTTTATATAGAAAATGTGGTAGAAAAGGAAAATTTTTATAGAAAATATTTAAAAACTAAAATTTTAAGAGAAATCCCATTTGTTTATATAGAGTTCTTTTCCAAAATTTTCTTAATTGTGATCATTTTGTTTTCATTCAAACTGCGCCTGCGTTATTTTTCGAAACAACAAAAATTCTCTGTGGGAGTGATCTCTTAAGATCATTTTAACACATTTTCCTATTAGTTCTACTTTATTAGTTCTTGTGTGTATATAGCGGCCATTCTAAAAAGTCTAAAAATATACTCCCTCACAAAAATAAAGAAAAATTGTAGAAATTTTCTTTAAAAAGTTAATAATTTATAAAAATTCAAGAAATTTTATTGAAATTTAAAGAAAATGTCTGATTCTAGTGATGCATGTGCCGTGTGTCAAATACCGGCCAAACAAGTTTGTTCCGCTTGCAAAATAGTCAAATACTGCAGTGCGGAACATCAGCGCCAGCATTGGAAGCAGCATAAGAAAGAATGCCGTTCTTTTCGCATTGACAATGATGCAACTTTGGGTCGTTATCTATTGGCCACAAAAGATATTAAGGCGGGAACGGCTATATTCGCTGAAGCTCCTTTGGTAGTGGGTCCCAAATGGTATTTAACGGAAAAAGAACAAGAGGTGCCGGTTATGCCCTGTGTGGGCTGTTATACACCCTGTCGTATGGCTGCCTATCAGTGTCCCAGGTATGTGAGACTTTGGAAAATTTTGAATTTATCAAAAATTATTTGATTTTATAACTGCAGATGCCATTGGCCTTGTTGCTCTCCCGACTGTGAGGGTTTGTTGAATCCCAATTTACATGCTTTAGAATGTTGCATTCTAATGCTGGGTTCTGGTCCTACTTCGACGACAGATATGAATGCTTTAATGGATTATTATCGTTCGGATGCTTTGTTAGTTTTGAAATGTTTGATATTACAAAGACAAAATCCCAAG